GGAACATGCTTTATTTAGCTTTCTTGCCATGCTTAACCTAGTCTGACTTAAATGGGAGCGTAGGACTAAGCAGGGGTTAGCATCAGAGTAGTTCTCATTGCCTTTAGTTGGTTAATTCCTGCTTTTGGAGGTACGACAATGTTGGGTGACCCTTTGTTTGATAGATGCTGGGCCTTCTAGCTCATGGGTGTATCCTTACAGTGTTTTCCTAAGTGCATAGCTGGGTTGTTTTGAAGAATTAAATGTCAGGGAACCTCTTGGAAAGTTTGAAGGAAATTGGTTTAAGTCATTGAAATGTGTCAGCAATGAAATGAAACATTGTAGAAATATGGACAAATATTTAGTAACCATGTGTTGAGAATGTCTCATTAACGATAACAAATTGTTCTATTGCATGTTATCAGTTCTAGGGATATGCTTCTGTTTCTTCTCACGCTTATGCTAACTGCAAAGTGGAGGTATTTGAAAGATTCCTTTGCATATCTAGATTATGATCTAATGCTGGGAAGGAATGAAAAATCCTCTTAGAGATAGCAGAGTTAGCAGAGGTGTTGATGCCCAGTTGTGGACTGTTAAAGGTAAGTAGTAGATGGAAGTATTTTGTGTTGGAAAAGTTTGTAACAATATTGTTCCGTCCAACGCTTTCAACATAATTCCTTTTTTTTAAAACGTAAAAGGAACCGTTACGTGTCGAGATAGCTGTCAGTGGGGTGAGAGTCCTAAACCTGTAGAGGTGTTACCAGCACAATTGTTGTGATGCTGTCACAGTCCTGCCCACGCCAGGGAGCTGGGTTAAATATAAATAATGTAGATGGTAACAAAGCTGGAAGTTTAGTTAGAGGTGGAAATGCCTAGTGACAAGGTAGATGCCCTTTGACGGGAAAGGGGAAAGCTATACCAAGATGTCTGCATCTTGGAATTCACTTAGAGCTCTCAAGTAAAACTATTTCTTGCTGGATCCTGGAAGGGAAGTATCCAAGGAGTCATGGATGTGCTAATGAAAATTCAGTGAGGAATACTTTCCTTCTGTGCTGGTAGCTTGTCAAAATAGCTTGTCAGGTGTTAGAGGGCAGTTGGAAATGTTTTATTTTTGGTAAATAAAATTGAGGGTCTTGGTTCTTTGTAGGGTAAAGCAATATGCAAATTTTAATATAAAATTAAAGACTTTCTCGCCTTGCTAACTTCATGTTTAGTTGAACATTATAGTTGATTTAGTTGACCATCTAGTTGATCAACTGACTTATAGATGTAAATTTAATTAAATGCAGTACTTTTCAAAATCTAAACTATAGAGTGATTTTGTATAAATGATGTCAAAATACGCTGATTTAAAACATCTAGCCTCCTCTCTTACTGTAAGTCAGATCAATTATTCTGGGAAGCTGCCTGCATGCATTTTTTTTCCAAAATAAGAAAAGATTAATAGGTACTTAGGTTTAAAGACCAAAATGTGCCATTGCGTGATGTCATTGTTGTTGTGATGGAGATGAAGTGTGATGGTTTGGATTCTAGATTGAGCTCCAGCGCTGTCCTTCCAGCGGAGCTCAACCAGCCGCTGCTGCCTGCACGTGGGATGCCGGACTGGTGTCCTGGGTTGGAGCCAGCTGCCAGCTCCATCCTTTCCGCTCCTTTTCCTGGTTGTGTGTTTCTGTTTCCCACAGGTGCTTCCCCTTGGCTAGTTTGAGGTGGTTCACTGCTCCATGTGTAGAATACCTGGTCCTATTTAGGTGTCCCTCTGTCACCTTTGTAGGCAGCCTCCTTGCCTGATACAGGTGTTGGGGTTATTTCAACCCATCTCCCTCCAGAGGACTTCAGGTACAGTCAACCACCTTTCCTCAAATTGTTGCTCCTGTATTATTTCCCATTGGAAATGGCAGAACATCTAGGAATCCCAGGCAAGTGGTGGCTGCATCCACAAAGAGCAGCTCTACGTCATCTATGCAGCCAGATAAACATACCCGAACATGTTGCATTTGTTTGTGTGTTGCGAATACATCTGTGTCTTGCATTGGAATTGCTCTGTGTTCAAGCTGGAGTGGTTCTGCACATGCAGACATGTTTGTGTTGCTTCAATCCTCCTGTTAGGATGTAACTCAGCTCTCAGTCACTGCATCTTAGTCTCCCTTCTACTGAAGTTATTTTTAATTTTTTATTATATTTATTTACGTATTAATTTATTTAGTCATTTATTATTTTAATGCCTAGAATGTGTTACTACTTTGTGTGACGTCTTAGGTTTTGTTTGTTGTAACAAAAAAGATTTCATTATATTTTACAAATCACACAATTGTAACACAGCAGAAAAAGTCGGACTTCTGACACATCTGGTGCTGGAATAGAGTTTAACTAAGTTAGTGATAGCAGTTATTTCAGAAAGAATAGTCTCAATATATCCCCTGCTATCTATAAGTTGTCAAGTTACAGTTTGCTTTGTGGAATGATGTCTGTTTATCCATCAGAATATTAATGCTGGGCAGCAGGGACAGCAGGAAAGCCCATCATGAGAAGTATTTCTAACTTCCAGTTTTAGGGGTTAGGTGCATTACAGAAGCAAATACTGAATCTACTTGAAACAGATGGCAACCTGTAGTTAGCCTTCTCCCTTTTAAAAGGAGAAATACAAGAAATTAGAGTCATGCAGAGTTCGATGTGTTCCAGTTGAATGCTAATTGTGACAGTTGTCTGTGGCTTTGTAACAGGGGTGGTTTTGTTCAGCCATAAACATCACAGCCAATGGGGTCAAATACTTATCCAAAGTGTCTGTGTGTAAACTGGCTTGCAAGCCAGCTATGTCAAAGCAGAGTTTGTTCATTTGAATAAATTTTTTTCTTTGAGTTCGTGTCCGAGTCTGAGCAGATGAAAAATCCCACCGGAGAGCAAGCCAAAGGCTTAAGTATTGAAAATGTGCAAGTGCTTCTGCGTGTCTACCTCTCAGCAGGGAAAGGTGATTCTCCACCCTTTGCTGTTGCTGTGCATTATTTTTGGCAGTAGTGGCCCCAAACTTTCTGAACCGATGGCCACGGCAAATGCTGGGGCAGCTCTGCTCTGCAGTGGCTAATTCTGGCTCTCAGCTCACGAGACTTTTTTTTCTCTTTTTTCCCCCTGCATTTTAATTTTTTGCTCTCTTTTTTTTGGCTTCTCCTTAATTACATGTTAAGATTTAGCCTCCTTTTTATCCCAAGTTCTGTAATTCATAGTAGTATTTTCTGTGACTTGCTGTCATAGAAACGAGGGCTTTAGAGGACGTTACAAGCTCATGTAATCCATTTCACTACCTCAAGGAAAAAACTACTCTTTTTAGACCAACTCTGGCAGACGTCTGTCTCACCTATTTTTAAGAACCTCCAACGAAGCAGATTGTGTGACCTCCCTGGATGATCAGCCTAGTGCCTTGGTTTTTTGATAGCATTCCTAAGATCGTGCCTGTTGCAGTTTAAGTCAGATTCCTTCAACCAGAGTGTCTCTGAAAACCCAATCCAGAGCAAACCATGTTGCCAATTCAAAAGCTATTCTGCTCAGATCTCTCTAGTACTTTTACTTTCGGTGTCTGTTTTTGAACTTAATCTCTTGACCCTTAGGGCATTTGCAAATCAGTTAATTTTAGTTCCATTTCATCATGTGGTCCATACAGGTAGTGTTGCCTCGTTCGCATCGGTTGAAACCTAAATTTGTGGCTGCGCTCTTGCTGTGTTACAGCTGCAACCTCCCTCAGACTGTCTCCTCCCTGAAAGCATGCGCAGAGTATGAAAAGCTTGATCATGTAGAAAGAGGCCAAACTAGGTTACCCTTATCCTTATCGTCACTGAACACAGAGGCCCCCTCTTCATTTCAGCGTCCTGTTTGAAGACACTGCTGTGTCTCTTCATGGGCTGGTCTGAGCCAGCACCTTGAGTTGTCCCTCTGCCTGTCTTGATGTTTCCTCTCCTGAATTAGGAGGATCCCTCCTTCCTCCTGCTGCTTTGCCTGTTATTATATATGGAAGTTGCTTTTTGTCTGTGCCTGTGTAAAGTAGTGGTTTTCTCTTATTGTACCATATTTTTAAAGATCTCTGCTTAAGTACAGTTTTTTAAACATTTTCTTTTCTTGCTGCTTCAGTTTAATTCTATGAAGCAATCTATGATCTCGTTTGTGAAGGATACCATACGTAAAAAAATTTGCCTTGTAACTTGGATAGCCCCATGGCAAATAAGTTGGCATTGCACGTTTTCTGACTTGCAGGTACAAGCTTGGACCCAGGGAGCATAGCCAGGAGGGGCTGGAAGGCAAAGCTGTGATGACATGTTCAGTATCCAGGTGGAGGGCCAAGAGGGCAGCTGCGCGGCGCTGGGTTGCATTCCAATGTGCTGATCCGTGGAACAGCGTTGGCATACGCTTTGGAAGCTACTTCTTGCTCTCCTGGCTGTAGGGAAGGGGCTGAGGTGATGGCAGGGAAGGAAGGGGTGAGTCTTTGCAGAATATTTTCGTATGATCGTGGCCTATTCTGAGCAGGCTGGACATTTGGAGCCTTGGCATTTCTTTGTGGTGTCATTGTGTACCGTGCTGCCTCTGGTAGCTCAAAAGTTAATTACTCCAGAGTGGGTTGTTGAGAATTTTTTTTTCTCCTTGATTCCTGAACTACTTAATTAAGTTGTAGGGAAGTTATATTTTCTCACTACTTGGGGGCTTAACGGGGTGGAGGCTTTGGAAGCAGTTTAACAATTTCACATTTTATATGCTCTAATGAATTTCCCAGGATTTTGGAAGGGTTGTATCCAACTTTAGTATCGTAATTTCCAGATTTTTATTTATGCTAAAATAAGTTAGTGTTGGATTAAGAGGCACAAAGAGCCAACAGATTACAAATGAACTAAAGAAGACATCATTTCTTTTGGATAAAGAGCATGACTCACAGTTGTGACTTGTACTGAAATACTGCAGACCCTGAGTTTCACCAGGACTACAAGCTGCCAATAGGGTTCCTCTTCCCTCCTCTGTTATTTCAAACCTGTGTTTGATTTCAGGTGCAGAAAAGAGAGGGTTTGCAAGGACCAGAAACAACTCTGAATCTGCAAGAACTCCCCAGAACTTCGATAGGAAGAGGCAACTCTCTGAATCGCAGACAGAAACAATGAACAATTCAGACAGCAGAATAAATCCTAGACAACTGGGAACTCCCAGAGGTATTAAAGCAGAGTGCGTACACGCTTCAGGAATAAGCTGCCTGGAAGCATGTGCTCAGCACTATTAGAAGATGGGCTGGGATGAATGCTCTTAACTCTAAAATGAGCTGTAAAAGACTGTTGATTATTTGTAAAATATGATTATTCCAGGCTTTTCGGTGCTCTGAAGTCGGGTGCCAGTATTTCTAGGCAAACTGTTCTCAGAAGTTCAACTTTGAATACAAAGCCTCTGTACAGCTGCTGTTAAGATACATAGACAAGTTTGGTGGGCAAGGTAACACTTACGAATTTTTGTTTGCAGGAGGATCCTATGCTGCTGTCCCAACATCAGGTGATAGAAAGAATCGAAGTAAACCCACTCGAGGGAGGAAGAAGAGTATATTTGAAGCCTACATGTTCAGGACTGAAAAGAGGAGAGCTAATTCAGGTGCCTGGAATATACAATGTCCATGCTGTTGTGATAAGTCTGGGGAAATCACAGGCAGTTATTGGAAATCAATATCAGTTGGTTGCATGACAGGGAATTGATGTACCGCTTGTAGATGCTAGAGGAAGATTTTCTCCCTTTCTCAGGAGGTTCTAGAAGTGGAATGAAATCTTTTATGTTCAGCTGAAGTATAGTTTTTTGTTTGATTGCATGTTCTCTAAAATTCCTGATCCACACTCATGATGAATTGCAGCGTTCTGGTTGGATCGTCTGCTAGCCATGATAGTCATTATTGTGGAGACACTTGCTTTTACAAATGATGCTCAAAAGCACAGCAGGTGCTGGCAGCCTCTGTCTTTGTCAGTGTAAGTAAAAATGAATGCCCTTAGCAAGATACTTCTTGCTGAAATTCCTCACAAAGATGTTCATTAGTCCTCAGCAACAAGCGGCAGATGCTTCCGCTTCCAGATCTACTCTTCTTTTTTCAATCTATCAACTCTTCCCAGAAGTCTCCCTCCCACAAAAAAAAGGGAGAGCGATGGTGCAGGTAATGCTCTGGGCCCTGGGGTCTCATAGGGCTGTGCCTACCAGGGCATTTCAATAACTTGTTATAAACTGGTTAAATTACTATCAAATGGCCGGGCAGTGATACTGGACTCTTGATATGCTTGCATAATTTTCTTTGTGCTCCCCTAAGGTCATAGGGCTGACCCAGCCACTGATGACAGTGTATGGTTTACTGAAGTAAGGCACAGATAGTAGATGGAGCTGAAGAGCCCATCAAGATACAGAAAATCATTTGCGTGTGTGTGTATGATTTTTGCCTTGAACAGCTAGCAATAAGCATGTTCTCATTTTACAGATTCTAAAGATCAAAGATCGGACTCTGTGCTTCCATTTGGAGCAGCAAAACTGCAGCCATAATTAGGAAGCAATTCTTCTCTGAATATCTAGCAAAATGTGGGGTTGGACCTGCCATTTGTGTGGGTAGCTGGATCTCAGAAGGAGTTTTGCATAAAGGCAGGCAGGGCTGAGGTTCACTGAGGAGTGGGAGAAGAGGATAGCATCCTAGAACTGCCGTCGTAGTACAGTCCTCAGCATTGGTGTAATGTTCTTCAGGACACACCTGGCGTCCCAGTGAGATCAGACTGGCTGGGGAAAAAAGGCAAGTGGAAGTCAGTGAGGGCATGACAGACATTCATGCTCAGGCATCGTTTACCCAAACACACACTGGTACATTGCCATTTAATTAGTGTTGTAATGCTGGTGAGGTTGTAATACTTACTTTCATCAATACATTGAAGTGGCAAATGGCATCACCTCACCTTTTGTCTGGTTTCTTGTTATAATTGTATAGTAATTATTGTATAATAATATAATGGCGTAATTTCTGGAGGTGCGATGAGGATTCCACATATAAAATTGCCTAATTCCATCCTGAAGACCAATCTGATGAGCTCTTAGTTTTCAGAAAAACGACTGTGCGGCATATCCCTGCTGATGATCAGAGTGGTCCACTGGGCTACCCAGACCTTAGGCCAGTGCCTTTTTAAAGACTGTCATAGACATCCACAGTGGGAAGCTAATGGTGAGGGAAGAAATGGGAGCCTCAAGCTGTGACTTCCCCCCATGGCTGCAGTGGCATATGGCAGCAACTAAAGCTTCTGCCTTACCTTCAGGAGTCTTTTTGGCACCTGTTTTTGGTAATGCAGCCTGATAGCATTAAGTGCAGCATGTGTAGACTGCCAATGAGGTCGAGTGCAGCTGCAGATGAGGCACATCAGACTATAACTACTACCTGAGAATCCCATTGAAATGCTGAGTCCCAGAGGACCTGTGATTGCATGCTCTCTGGCAAAGGAATCCCTAATTATTGTAAATGCGTAGTGTCTACTACAGGTCATGTGCTGCGTAATTGGAAGAGTCATATGTGCTTTTTTAGGCTGTATCTGTTTTCCTTTCATCCAGTTCCACATCTTGGGGAAGCAGTTGAGGCTGTAGAAGCTGGATTTAATCATGTAGGGCTGAATGTCAGTTCATGGGCATCCCTGCTCAGTATCTCTCATCTTCAGCTCATTCATCCTTATGATCTCATCAAGACCATTCATCATTGCAGTCTCAACCAGGACAGGTGAGATCCTGAAAGCAACTTTAGTGAATGGACAAATATTCAGCACTGTTCTGTGTAATGGCAAGAGACATAGTGAACAAACACCTGTTGTGTTAATCCGCAAAAGCAGGGCATTGGTCTGGCGTGGTAACCTGCAAAAATGCTCCACAAGAGCCTGTGGAAGAGAAGAACAAACTTATTGGTCTGAATCTGACGGTCCTGAGCAAACTCGAGTGCTAGCCAGACAGAAGCATGACTCTTCGAGCAGGGGCTGTCTCCTGTAGCATCCTGGAAACACTGGATCTGCATATGTTTGTGTGAGAACTTAAGAGATCTGTTAGAGAGAAAAGACCCTACCATGAACTCTGAGGATGTTGCTGGACCCTGGCAATGCAGCTATGCAACTAAATGCTCCTGAAAGCCCAACCCACGGAAACTACTGGCAGATGTGGAGATGGCTCGGATAAAACACGAGTGCCATGAAGATTAAGCAGTCCTAGATCAGGAAGAACAGAAGTGTTATCTTTATGGGTGCTGATGTCTGTCAATAATATTAGTCTTAATGGCTTCTGGTACTGTATCTGACATAACTCAGTTTTTGATAAGTAGCATGGAGAAGCATGCCCTGCGGGATTCCTGGATTCATTTAATTGTGCGACGTGTGCAGAAGTGTCCTTCCACAAGAAAGGGGATCTGAGCTCAGACGCTTAAGAGTGCATAGACTTCCCACTTCCCTGCCCATAAAACTGTCTGCCGTGAGCAAACACCAAGCATATCAGGCTGGTTGGAATCACATTGGCCAGTCTGAAGGCAAACAAAATTGAATAACTTCTGCGTAGTTACGTAAGCGGATGGTGTTGGCTATACACAACAGATGAAGTCAGGTTATGTGTTAAGGAACATTGACCCAAAGGACCATAATCATCCTGTGAAGCACCAGCCAGAAACTCATGTCTGCTCCACGCCTCCAGCGTCTCCCAGACCCTCCCTGCAGGGCTGCTGGGGTCAGGTGGAGCGAGAGCACGCAGCATACAGAGGTGCAGAGCCTGCTTTGCCATTAAGAGGGTGTTTTTCCTTGGAAAGCTGTTTTTTTGTGCGTATGAAGGCTGGGGTTTCCCTGATTTTCATGGATTGTTTTTTCAAAGGTGGCCTTGGTAGCAAGCAGATACTTGAACCCTGAACTTTTTTGGTGTTTTGTACATACAAACGAATCTAAGCATATGTGTTATGATAGCTGTTATGAACTGCTTGATTTGAGATGCTTGAAGTTTAGTCTGAATATTGCCTGCCCTGATTCTAGCAGAGCAACTTGAGAAATCATGACCCTTTTGTATCTTGCTGGGGAAGCTCAATAAGGTTAGAAACTTTTTTGGCAAGTATGTGTGAAGCTGACTTGAATCATCACAAAGTGTTTTAGAAACGTTCCTGCAAACCTTTCTCTTCCCTTTCAAAACAAAGGCCCTACTCACATAAAAACACTGATAAATATAGCAGCTATTATTTGCAACCTATTGTAAAGTAATACACCATTAGTGTGACATCATGAGACTCTGCAGCCAGATCCTCACCCCCTAATACACATATGAGAACAGTTGTTCGTTACAGATGGGGAGAGTGACTGGTTCCAGATATGATATCACAGCGTGAAATGTACAACATGGTAAATAGGATTTTCATAGGCACAGATAATAGGGCCCATCTGCTTTCTAAGACAGATTTTGGGAGTTCCTTGCTTAAAGGAAAGAGCTGAAGTGTTTTAATGCTACTTGATGTAAGAATTCTAATGCTGATCATAATTAGGTAGCGCATATAAAATGTAGAGAAACCCGCTGCACGGTAAACAAGGTAACAGTTTGCTCCACTGTGTGTTTGCTGGAGCTGGGCATCCGTGTGCATGTAGCCGCTCTGGCGCCTTCTGGACCATGGACACAAAACCTCATTTTTCATGCGCATAACAGGCATTTGCACCTGGCTGATTGACAGCTGTCCCAAACTATTCAAGGGTATTCTGCAGAGTAATACAGGATATCCCCTCATCTGCTTTGTGCTGGTGGGTAGATGCTGGTATGGGAATTGTTTGACTTGTTGTCAAGCAAAGCAACCATCCCTTTTCATTTCTTCCTTTCTCTCCGTAGCAGTTTCCTTTACTAACAGTGTATTGTTTTTGATGGCTGATTCTGGGAAATAAGGGGAGAAAAAAGACCACTGAGAGTTTTCCATCAGTGGGTACCAGTGCTAGTAGAGGCTGATGACTAATAGAGCGAATTAGCTCTCACTTTGCCTAAGCATAAAGTATCCCCAGGGTTGCTCCCAGTGGGTTGTCTTTATTTTCATGCCGTTGTTCCGGGTTGTGCCTGCCATGTGGCTAGTGTGCTTGCTAATACTAGTTACATAAGGCACAAAATAAGACATCGCAGCAAAGTATTCAAATAATGCCTGAAGAATATAGAATATATGGTCCTGGTATTTCCAAACTTAAGCAAATAAAAACAATGGTAAACTTTCATAAATCTGCAAATTCTTCTTCAAGGCAGCAAAACTTTCACATCTAATCAGCTTTATTTTCCTATCGTCTGAGTGTTTCCCAGAATACATAAAAAAATTATATGCCGCAGTAAATTTTTAAGGAAGCAATTCCTGTGAGAGGTTCCTATGATTGCTTAACACAGAAGTGCAAACAGATGGAATCTGTTCGTATAACAAATTGGCCAACGTTATTTCAAACACACAAGCGGAGAAAGTTTTAAAGTTTCAGCCCAAAGCAGAAGCCTGTCTGAAGGCAGATACCTAGATGTATTTCTGTAAGAATCAAATGCTGTCCGTTTTAACTGCAGTCACCTGAATCACAATTCCCAGGACCTTCTTGGGATGGGAACAGCACTGTTGCATAGCCTGTAAGTCCTTGGTTGGCTCTCCCTTTCTCTTGGATGGACCTGAGCGCAAGCAGCAGAACTGGTTGGTTTACTTTGGAGGGGTGATACGAATTTGTTGCAGGTGACTTGAGCTTTGAGTTGGCAGATTACAAAGCAGAAATAGATGGACCATGGACTTTCAAATGTATTTAAGATAGTTTGACTTTAAACGTGTTTAAACAGAACTTAATCCTGTAGACTTTAAATGTTTGTTTTTGGAAAATCCTTTTGATTCTTCTTTGGAAATGTTCTTTATCACAGAGTTACTGCTACTGTCTGTTTGCAGGAACAGCCTAAGCAGCCAGAGCCCCATAAGGCTGATACCTGCTGCCATGCAAGCTCAGCAGGTCAGCTTTTCCTCTTTCCTCCCGTCCTCCAAAATAAGCAAACCCAACATTCTGCTTTTCCAAAACAGAGCAAAACAAGTTGTTTCTATTGACTGTTTGTTAACGAAGTTAGTGGATGCTCAGCAGAAAATGTGTGGAGGGAACAGGAGGGCTTGGATCCTCAGTTCACCCAGTAGCAGCAACAAATAATGATTCAACGTCTCTTTGATGACAGACTGCAGTAGATCAGCTTAAGCCTATCATGAAACTGCCTTTTGGCTTGAAATTGCTCAGATGCTAAGTTGTCAAGACTTGAAATGTATAATGGAAATTTAGATGTATCTCTCATGTTTCACAGTAGATATATTACCTACAGCTCTCTAATTTAACTGATGTTATATAAAATTAATACGATTCAGGCATAATCTTTCTCCTTCTTCTCTTTTTTTTTAAGGGACCCTTGAGAATAAATCCTAAGAAATACCATGAAGCCTTCATTCCATCTCCAGTAAGTGTAATTTTATAATGCTTTAAAGTTCATAAGTAAAGGTGCATTAAGATAGGAGTTATGCTGTGCACAAAAGGTCACTCAGAGGTGAATGAGTTGGAATAAATGAACATGATCTGGATTTTCTTTTAAATCAAATATTCCCAAACAAATCCTGCTTTTTCATACCTCAAAGAACTACCTACTTAGCTTGTGCTGAAATTGGGGATACTGCTGGGTCCCACGGAAGCCAGCTGAAGTCAGGTTTGAGGACCACCAGATAGTGTAATCGGAAACCCTTGGTTTATGGCTGCAGAGGTTTTATAGATTTTCCACTGATTTAAGTTATTCTTCCCTAAACAAATATGCTCTCCACTTTCGATCTGCTGCATGAGCTAATTTGAAAAGTCATTCCAGAAATAATATGCGTGATTCCTTTTCATGTGCCCGCTTTTGCGCGAACTGTGTCTTGGTTGGCTTGGGATGTGCTTCTGTCACATGGGACTGGCTTGCGCCTCATCTCTCTTCTTTCCTTATTTTGTCAGAAAAGAAAGGCTCTTGCAATTTCAGGGAATTCCAGTAGGGAAGGTGACCTCACAGCTGGCGCAGCCAAGGCTTTTTATCTGGAACTGACTTGGTCAAAATGTTACTGTCGATAAGAGAGTTTCATATTGAAACATTTTGTTGGTGTAGGGGAGAGAAGGCAGAGCCTGCCCTGAGACAGTGAAACACTGTTGTTCTCCCTGCTACTGACCGCTATTGTTTTGGGGCTTGGAAGAGTTTCATATTGAAACATTTTGTTGGTGTAGGGGAGAGAAGGCAGAGCCTGCCCTGAGACAGTGAACACTGTTGTTCTCGCTGCTACTGACCGCTATTGTTTTTGGGCTTGGATTGAAAGCCTTGAAATTCATGGCATTGTCAGTTCACGTTGTTGATTTGGGATAATGTTTTGGAGCCCGCTTTGTTAGAGAAGGCTGGCATTACAGGGGTGGAGGAAGGTCGGGGGTGCACAAAGTAGATTAAGATTAACTAGAGGAAGAAGTTCAGAGCAGGTCTCCAGCACATCAGTAGAGCAGTACTGTACGTGTAAGTGAAAGGAACCGTGATCCGTCCTTTACAAGTGTCCTTGTAGGTGTGGTAAGTGTAAGCTGTTAAACATATTCTCTGAAATTACAAAATGCAAGGTTAAATGAGAAATCCAGCTACTCACATGAGTTTAACTGGATGTGAAGCTTTACCCCTAATCACCCCTGGTGTCCAGCTGTTGCCTTGTGCAGTCGATTGCTCACTGTTCTGCATGCAGGAATACATACATTAAGGAGGGTTGGCCGAGGTTGTTATCTCAACTATCTTTCTACTTTCCTGCCCTTTGTGGAGCTTAATACCAGAACCAGCCTCATCCCTGATAACAAGCAGAATCAACACCTGGATGAAGATGACTCTGGCTAGTGTGGACACAGTCCTCACTTTAAGACAGGTGCTTTAGGAAGCTTATCCTTTGTATAACATTATTTGCCATAATGGAGGGTTTGCAACCTTCATGTTCTGCAGGACTTCCCATCATTGCCAGATGCTGCAAGAGCTGCAGCTGTGAAAAATCACCCTTTCTCTCCTGGTGTTGACGAGGGCACTGTACCCCTTTCTCTTCAGCTTTGACTTGGCTAATGCTTGATGGAATTCAAATGCAACAGCTGGTCACCTTCTAACACCAGAAGTCCCAGAGTGTTTCTTGCTGCAAATGTGCTGTCTGCTTGTCTCATTGTTGCATGAAGAGTTGAAGGGAAGCCCAGGGCCTTTCTCTTGAAAGCTACCCAAAGAACGGACCCGAGCATTTAAATCTCTGCCTCGCATCTCGTGTCTTCCCTGCACACAGTAGTGTGGTTTGAAATGACGGCATTGTCAATGTGAAGAATGATACTGCTGAGCACGAGTGATGGAGTGACTGTGGCTGTGCTGTGCTTGTGGAAGACACTTCCAGAGCATATGAAAGCACTGCAGATCTCCCTCTTGTCAGAGGGGGATAGAGAGCACTGCCAGTGATATTCACAGGTGGCCACAGAGCAGTAAAAGCCCCGTGCTCCCTGGAAGGGGCTGCAGAAGTCTTGAAACCATTGTGGCCAATACAGTATATGCACCCTGGGGGCAGCTGAGACTTTGCAAGTGATTGTGTTCTGTTGTGATTCGGTGCCATTTTATTTGCATTAGTAATCTGAAGTGCCAGCTGTGCAGAGTAGGGGACGCGCAAGTGTTCTTGGAAGTGCATAAGTTTGCCCAACAATCATGAGCCTGGAGCTCAAGATACAGAAATGTTTCTTTTTGGAGGCAAAACCAAAACTGACGGCAATTTCCTAATTACAGCTTTGTTGCAGGCATTGAAATTAACTGCTGTAAAATAGGTGTGCATACACATATATAGAGTGTGTGTGTGTATGTGTATATATATATAGAGGTATATTGTTTGGGATGAGAGTGACTAGCTGCAGTTCAAGACAAGACTCTTGCAGAGTATGGAGATGCAGCTTTAACTAGGTGGTGTCAAAGCACCATCAGGCACCTTTACAAGGGGTGGGGGAAAGGGTCTGCCTTGTGTTTTCTTGGACACAGGAGAGAAGGAAAAAAAGTGTAGAATAAACAAATTATTGTGAATGCCAGCCTGTGTCCTGCAGCGCAGAGCAGCTACAGGTACAAACAAAAAAAGAGCAGGCATTTTCCTTAAAAAGTGACTTTGAACTTTTCTATGTATGTGGTGGATTTAGGTAAAGAGTTGGGGCAGAAGGGAGAGGGTGGGGAGAAATGAGGAATAAGACCATGTGTAAAAAATCTGGCTTTTTGAAAAGAATAGTTTCCAATTTGAATTATGTTGGTCCAAGAGGCTTTGCAATTTTTCTGCATCTTGTCATGGGAGGCAGCTTTTACACAGCTGTTGAGCTGCTGCTGCTTTTCTTTCTAAGAGTAATTTGGTCTCTTGGAGGACGGCCTTAGTTTCACATCATGGCAGGGTTCTGCCGTTTTATTGTTTTGGTATCTAAGCAGAGTAAGTTATTTATGTGATATTAGGGCTTCATGTTGTCAGGTTATAAAAGAAGTTTTTCTTGGAGACTGAGCGCACTGGTAGTTCTGATTGGATTTACTCAAGCATATGAGACTCAGGAGTGTGTATCTGAGAAGCGACTAAAGTTGTGATTAAGATTTTAGTTCTTGTGAGGCTGTTTTTTTCATTGAAAGGCAATGAAGTACTAATCTAAAGAAACTCATCCTCAACCTCAAAACTATGCAAAGATAGCTCTCTAGAAAAACTATGTTGGCTGCTCATGTTGATAGCAAATGCTCACGTTGTTTGACACATTCATGGCACTGTAAACAGACACATGGAATTGTTCATATACTGAATTATGGGGAAACAGAAATGAAAGCAGCAAGAGCACTGTCAATAATTAGCCAAAAAAAAGGACAAAACTGGCAATTCTTTAAAAACTAAAACCTTTGTGTTGGCATCTTCAGGAAATTTCATCTTTATTCACCCCACGAAGAAAATCTTCCAAACTAAATCTAGATCAGCTGAACACCAAACATGTCTGGGGTGGATAATCATAGTGCATACAATTAGTAGAGGCTCTTGTGCAAGGATTTTAACCCAGAGTATTGAGAGAAGATGTCCTAACATGTCTGTTAGAGTAAAAGATCTTCTGGCTTGCAGTTGGCATCTGTAGTCATCATTTTTTGGAATCTCTTCTAACATTAGTTGTGCCAAATACCATTTAAAAAACAAGAGACTGCATCCCCAGCCACTCTCCAGGCCACCTTCGCAGACTGACCTGCTGATCCAGGAGCCATGTGTCCCTGCTTTCCCATCTCACCAGGAGAGCGGCAGGCAGCTTCGCGCGGGGCACTTTGCAGAGACTGTCTTGTAAACATGTTCTGAACAGTAGGTTTGAGTGCTTGAGTTGGGAACTTAATGTGTGAAGAGCTGTGACTGCAGAAAACTCTCTACCCATTCCCAAAAGTGACTGTAGAGGAACTGAGCAGAGCTTGCAGACAATACATCTTGAGGGCTTGGCTCTGTCATGAATAAATAGTGTGGAACTACTGTGCTGGCACATACATACAAAGGAGCTTATCTGCTGAAAGATACTGCATGTTGAATGGCATATGGTGAATCCATTTCATTTCTGTGCACAACTGCAGGATGTTTGTCTCACCAGGGTGTGTGTCTTTTTTGATGACAGTGTTTTAAACCTCATAACAACTGTAATTTAATATGTTTTGGTCTGGCATTTATTTTTCTTCCTCTTTGACTAGGATGGGACTCGCGATATCTTTATTGATGGAGTGGTTGCTCGCAACAGAGCCCTGAATGGTGACATCGTGGTAGTGAAGCTGCTTCCGAAGGAGCAATGGAAGGTCAGTTCAGTATATTTTCCTGTGATTTGACAGAAAGAGCTTATTATTGTTTTCTTCACTAAACTTAGGGCCTGAGTCAGAGAATAGAGAATTTCCTACAAATCAGATTAGCTAAATTGTGGTTTATGCTGCTGTAGATTAAAACACTTTATCCATTACAACGTTTGGAAGAAGTGATACCT